GGGTGTGTGTGTGTGTGTGTGTGTGTGTGTGTGTGTGTGTGTGTGTGTGTGTGTGTGTGTGTGTGTGTGTGTGTGTGTGTGTGTGTGTGTGTGTGTGTGTGTGTTAAAGGCACTGAAGTGGTCATGGTGAGAGAGTTGTATCATCAGAGAAACGACCACCTGGTGGAGAGGGAGATCAACGAGGTGGACAAATTCACCACAGAGCGCTTCAGACGTGGAAGACCTTTCCACCTTTTATGTAAATATACTTTTTGTGCTGCTGTCTGTCCAACAAAACCAAACACTCCACCGAAGACACATTTAACTGAAATGTACAATCGTGTTGGAAACAACAACAAAAACATGTATCCATTTAAAAGTAAAGTATTATCTGTGAGTTCATTATGGCTCAACAGCTTTTCCATTTTAACTTTTATAATTGTCATAGAAAGCCCTTACGGATATGTGAAAGTGCATATTGGATTACTTAATTTTCCTTTTTACTTAAATAAAAAAACATGCATATGTTGATGTGTTAAAAATAAATATAATGCTGTTGTGGAATAACCTGTTTATTTTCAAGTCTTCATTTTCATTAAATCCCCGATGAGCTTACAGTGAACAGGAACCAGCAGGCTTTAGTCGTAGCTGTCGTTCCCTCAGAGTTACGTCAGCGTCCTGAGTGTCGGTGTTTTGTTTTATTCTCAGTTCACAGGTACACATCCAATAGCACCGACACAGAGCGTGAGATGGAGTTCAGCAGTGACCGTGGTGAAGATCTGCTGCGGAGGGTGGAGTCATCGGATGAAATGACGGAGTCCTTCGAGGGCCGCAGGGACTTCCTCTACTGCCGGCACGTTGTTTTCCAACCACAGATTAAGCTTTCACGAGAAGATTTGGAAAGCCATCTGAAAGTCCGAGAAATAGAGGTAAAACATATGTAACACGTGAAAAACACACACTTGGGTCATTTTATAATAATTGCATTAGTTATACCATGAGTTCTGGATAGTTGAACATTATTTTGGTTTAAAACAATGTTTTTAATGACAAGAAATCTCAGGAAACGACAACAGCCTTTCTGACCTCCTGTCCGTTGCCCTCAGCTCAAAGCCCATTGGTTCCTGCTGATAATGGCAATCTTTTAAAACACAAAACTATGTAAATATTTTTAGATTTTAATTCATTTAAAGTCTCATTAATTGCCAAGCTGTCCCCTGTTGCTTTTATCAAACAAACGGGAGGAAATAGTGCATTTGTACGGGACTATTTTCAACGGCGGATTAATCCACATTTGGTCCTGTAGTGAGTATTTGTGGTAGTAGAAAGGTGTAAGTGGGAGTCAAAGTAGGCTACATTGTCTGTGTTCATTGCACAGGTGGAAGTAAGACACATGGTCATGTCACTAGCAAGTCTAAGCTAAGTGTAAGTCAAGTGGAGTCTCTTATCAATGAAAGTCAAGCATGTCTTAAGTATCAAATGTCCTACTCGTCTAAACCCATGCCTCTTAATGGTAACGTAGGAACATGTCACACAGTTATTATTGTGTTTTTTAAATCATTTTGGGCAAAAGTTTAGAGATATATTATGCCCCTGTGAAGAAAAAACACAATGTTTGGACTCATACTTCAAGAATGGCTTGAGAGAGAAATATGTATTAAAGTGCTGGTAGGAGTTACATAAAAGCTCAATTTGAAACGTATCTAATGGAATTG